TAAATGACAAGATGATTTTCTTTCCGTTCTTCCTAAAACTTGCGGCTCAAAAAGTCATTATAAAAAAGGAATGAAAAGAAAATAATCTTAAATAAAAGGGTTTTAAGGTCACAACTTATTTTTAACATTTATATAATTCTATTCAAAATTATTAAGATATATATATATACTCTTTGTCTAAATTTAACGCAAACTATAATTAACTTCCTTTTTTTTCTTCTAAATTTAAATAATATCAGAATAGCTGCTTGAACATGTTGAGCATCTTACTCTATAAGATGCTGAATTCTTCTGCAATTTTTTGCTATCATAACAACCCGTGTGATTAATGATCCATTAAGAAAGCCATGGTTCTTGAATACGAGATTATAATCATGGTAAAATTTATGTATTCCATAAAAGGGGGAAAAAAATATTTGTTAAATTTAAAAAAATATTATATAAATTAAAATTTAATAATTAAAATATCTTCAACTAATGGCCGCAATAAAATACACCAATCGCCACACGATTGCACATTTATTATTTTTTAATAAATAAATAATTTAAAAAATAAATAAAATAAGATAATATTTTTGGTAACTCAATGAAACTCGGGGAAATTTTTAATAATATCTTTTTTTTTTGGTTATTGTTTTTTTTATGTTATTTTTTTTTAAAGAAATTTAAAAAAAGATTTTTCTACAAATTTTTATTTAAGATATTTTAAAAAAGTTTTTTCTACAAAATTTTGTATTAGGGGTAAAATCAGGCTTGTTAATCGATCCTTTTAAAAAGATCGAATCCCGATCACGATCTTTCGAAAAAAAGAGGATCGAAATCCAGAATCGACCTTTTTTAAAAAAGGATCGCGATTACGATCACGATCACGATCCTTTTCTTATTTAAATTTGTGATCGATGCAAAATTAACTAATATAAAAATTAATTAAATATGGTATAAATTTATTGTAATCGAATAATATAATATAAGTATAACAATTAAAATATATTTATTTATAATTAAATTAGCCTTTAATAATAAAAGATTTTCTAAATTATCATCATTTAAACAACCACGTTTTTCATACATGTTTAGCTTTAATAAACAAGCGCTCCTGTTTTTAAAAATATTCACTGAATCATCATTAGAATAAAAAAAATTATTAATGGAGAGCATTTTCTGACGAATTTTTCCAAAAAAGGTATCGATCTCATTCATGCATTCATTTGAAGGATCTGCATATGGTCAACCCTGTATATTTGCTAAATGGGCAATTAACATTTTTTTTAGCAACAAATTTTGTGGCAGATTAATAAAAGGCCAATTGAGCTTAAATTTTGGGTGAATTATTGATGCCAATATATTATTGTCATCCATCATATAGTGAAGGAAATCTATAATTCTTATTATATGCATATTGTTATGATCTTCATAAATAATTTTTAAAAAAATTAATTACTTCTAAATGCCTCTTTAGGTTTGAACTGCTAATCTTTGAAGAAGATATTTTGTTTTTGCATAAAGAGCATTTTGCATAGATCATTGTATGGTTACTTCCATCCATTTCACATAAAGTAAAATCCTTATGTAAATTATGAAATGGTAAAAGATTCTCATTCTCATTTATATCTGCTATCATATCAATAGAAGTAGATGCATCATCTTCTAAATCTATAATGGAGGACATTATTAAAACCTAGAATTTATTTATATTATAATATAATCAATAAATAAATATAACTTGTACTTACAAAAAATTTGAGGAATCTGATGGAATGGTGGTTGATAAAATACAGGGACCAGGAGTGAACCGTAACGAACCGTTAAATCATTATAAACCTTTATAAATATCTGAACCATATAACCGAACCAATATAATTATTTTTTGAAGGAGTAAAAATTACCTTTATAAAAAAAGGTTAAACCGGTTCAGTTTTTATTTTTTAGAAATCAAAATAATTTGAATATCCAGAATTATATAAACCTGCTCTTATAGTACTGGCGGTTCTCGCAGCACAAGTTTCTGTAGAAAGGGCCTTTTCGGGGTTAGAATTTGTGATATCGTCACAACGAACAAATATGAATCCATTTATATTAAAAAATATATTACTTATAGGTTGTTCAAATTATATATTTAAAAATGAGTTATTTTGAATCTTATATATTTTTTTTATATATATAATTCATAGACGTTTATAATAAAATAAATTAGACAATGGTGTTGCTCAATTAAAAAAAAATTTCTAACCGTAATGAACCTTTATAAATCTTTATAATTATCTGAACTGAACCTTTATAAATTTTTTCTTAAGAACCGTAACCAAAACGTAACCATTGTAATATTTTACAAACTGAACCGTAATCCAACTGAACCGTTATAAATAACGGTTCGGGTCCCTGATAAAATATGATATAGATAGATATTTTCTTTAAATAATATTTTAATTTAATTTTCAAAATTTTTATTTTATTTATTGCTTTTAAAGTAAAAAAATAATTTTTATAAGGATCGGGATCGAATATTTAAAAAAATGATCTAGATCACGATACACAATTTAAAGTCAGGATCTTAAATCCGAGAAAATTGACAAATTTAGGATCGAATCCAGGATCGGCGATCTTTTGATTCCATCCTTTAACAACTCTGGGTAAAATATAGTAATTCTTAATTTTGCAAGTTTTTTCTACAAAATTTTGTATTAGGGATAAAATATAGGTATTCTTAATTCTACAGCATTTATATATAAGGGAGGGAGAGGGTAGGAGAATTTTACCTATAAATTTAATTTTTTATTTAAGATATTTTAAAATAGCCTTTTCTACAAAATTTTTGGTAGATGAAATTTTCCATTTAATTTTTTTGGGTGATAATACTATAATTAGAGAAAGATCCCATAAATAAAAAAATATTTAGAAGAAAATTACTAAATGCCTACAAAGTTTTTAAAGAGGGTATAGGGGTGAGGTAAATTTTTGGTAGATGAAACTTTGCATTTTAAATTTTTTTTGGTTATAATACTATAATTAAAGGAAGATCCCATAAATAAATAAAATTTAAGCAACTTTAGGAAAATTAGAATAACTTTTTTCTGGAAAATAATAATCTAAAATTTGGTATTATGGATAAAATAGATTCCACCTTTGAAGTTTAAGTTATTTTTTTAACTTTTGTAGTGAAGAGTTAAATAGAAACATAGTATTAAATGACGCAATTAGATATAGTATTAAAATTTATACACGAAATATAGTATTAAATGACGCAATTTTATTCATTAAAGTAAAATATATTATAGAAATTTATACAATCATTAATAAAATGAATAAAAATATCAATACCTTATCATAATCGATATTTTCGAAAATATCTATATTCAAGAAGATTTATGAATATTATCCCGATCATGTCTTGTATAGTTTGCTTTTAGATCCCGCCACAGCCTTCCAACTTTTTGGGTGTGGATGGATCTGATCAACAAAATTTTGCAAATGATTGACCCGATAGTGGAAATAATTTGTTTGTTCTAACAGATTATATCTAAGATAAATATATTTAATTTATTGCCACTAAATAAAAAATTTAATTTGTAGGCAAAATTTTCTTACCCCCCCCCCCTCCCTCCCCTATATATAAACGCTGCGGAATTAAGAATTCCTATATTTTACCCCCAATACAAAATTTTGAGAAAAAACTTTTTAAAATATCTAAATAAAAATTTGTAGAAAATACTTTTTTAAAATATCTTAAATAAAAATTTGTAGAAAAAACTTTTTGAAAATATCTTAAATAAAAAATTAATATATTAATTTTTTAAAAAAAAACAAAATAAAATAACATTAAAAAAAAATATACCCCCCGAAAGTGGCAATATCCGAAAAGTTGATATAGCGTGCATACAAGAGACAAAATGGCAAAAGACTTTAATGATTGGAAGGGTATAAATTGTACTATAATGGAATTATTAGCAATAGGAACGGTGTCGGCATCATCCTCAGTCAAGATCTAACCTCGTCAGTGGTAGAAGTCAACAGGATCTCTGATAGACTAATGAAAATAAAACGCTGCACTGGTCAATCAATACTTCACATCCTTTCAGTATATGCTTCTCAAACTGGTTGCTAAGAAGAGGAGAAAGATGAAATTAAGCTGTAATGGAAATCCCTAAGGATGACCTTGCCATAATAGGTGGTGACTTAGATGCCCATGTGGGAAAAGCAAGAAACAGCTACAAAAGGCATCATGGTGGTTTTGGATATGGAGAAGGAAATGATGAAGGCGAGCATGTACTGAAATTTCTTGCCTTAACCAACACCTACTATAAGAAAAAGGAGAGTCATTTAATAACATATGAAAGTGGTACAAGGAAAACCCAGATAAATTACATGCTTCTCTCTCGCATAAGATTAAAAGATGTAATAGACTGCAAAGTCATCCCAGGAGAAGATATTACCGTGTAACACAAGCTACTAGTCATAGATTTGCACCTTACAAATAAATCCACTAAAAACAATAAAAAACTTGAACCATGCATCAAATGGAGTAAATTAAAAACAATGACAGATGCCTTTGCAATCAATGCAAACATTGAAACAATAGATTCCTCATTAGTCAGTGAAAAAATGTCAGACCTTTCATCCAGATTAATAAACACTGCCAAATCGACACTAGACTTGGAAAGAGGGGGGGGCAACAAAATCACACAAAGAACTATGGTGGTGGAATGAATAGGTACAAACCACTATACAGGAGGAAAAAACCCTATATAAAATATGATATTGTATCCAAAAACCCAGATGACAAGACAAGATACAAAAAATCTAAGAGAATAGTTACAAAGGTGGTGGCTAGGGCCAAAGCTATGGGATACGATGATATGTATTAAGAACTACATACCAAAGAAGGGCAAAATAAAATATACAGATTATCCAAACAGTGAGAATAGAATTCTAGGGATATAAACGGAGCTCCGAAAGTAATCAAAAATAAAGATGGGAAATTGATAATAAAGGAAAAAGCTATAATGAATAGATGGAAAGAATATTTTCAGGAGCTTCTCAACTTTAATTCCAACATACTACATCTAGATGAACACTCCCCATATCAAAACCTTATACAACCAAAAACAGAACAAGAAATAATCACATGCTTCAAGTATATGAAAAACCAAAGCTAATGGTCCAGATGATATTCCAATAGAAAGCCTTAAAGCACTAGGAGATGATGTAATACATTTCCTCACAAATCTATACAATAAAATACTGGGAAACGAAGAGATTCCTCAAAAATGGAGGCAGAGCTATCTAGTTCCTATCTTCAAAAAAGGGGATCCACACAATTGTCAAAATAACAGGGTCATAAAACTAATGTCACACTGTCTTAAACTTTACGAAAACTCATTGAAAAAAGGTTAAGAGACATAATCGAAATGGGAGACACTCAGTTTGGCTTTATGCCTGGAAGATCAACAACTGATGCAATCCACGCATTTAGGCAAATGAGTATAAAATACAAGGAAAAGAACAAAAAGCTACACATGGTCTTTTTCGATCTAGAAAAGGCCTTCGATAGAATCCCAAAAAAACTTATCTGGTGGGCGCTACGCCATAAAAATCTTCCCGAAAAATATAAAAGAATAATACAGGATATGTATATGGTCCATACAACAATGGTCCGTAGCACAACTGGTACTTCAGCAGGCTTCACGAGGGTGTTCATCAAGGATCGGCTCCTAGCCCAATTCTCTTCATAACAGTAATAGATGTATCATCACAGTCTATACCGCAAACAGTCTCGTGAAATATGATATTTGCAGATGATATTGCGATACTGCCGAATCCATGGATGAAATGGAAGAAAGGTTAGTGAATTGGATAAATATCCCAGAAAAGCACGAACTAAAAGTAAACAGAGAAAAGACGGAGTATATGGTGATAGGAGGAAATGAAACAGAGAGCATTGATATAAATGAATGGCAGATATCGGCAATTGAAAGCTGCAAATATGTGGGCTCCACTATACAAACAAACGGCCCAATAGAGAAAGAGATAAAGAGTAAAATTAATCAAGGGTGGAAGTGGAGATCATCTGGAATGCTCTTTGACAAAAGAATCCATTGAAGGGAAAAATTTACAGTTCCATAGTACAAATAACTATTCTATATAGTTCGGAAACATGGCCAACCAAAGAATCAGACGAGAGAAGTCTACAAACTATGGAGATGAGAATGCTGAGGATGATTGCTGGGGTAACAAGAAAGGATAAGGTGTGAAGTACAAGAATACTAGGAAGTTTAAAGGTAGTGCCCATTAAGAATAAGATAATGGTAAACAGACTTAGGTGGTATGGGCACACAATGAAAAGGTTTATGAACTATATAAGAAATAAGGTTGAGAGTTTGGAAGTGATGGGTAAACATAAAAGAGGAAGGCCAAAACTTCAATGGGACCATAAAGTTAGAGCCAATATGTAGAAGTAAAAATTAGATAAAAGAGATAGCATGAATAACATAAAGTGGAGAGAGATATTGAAGGAGCTTACCACCAGAAAAGGTGAAAGCTAAAAAGAAAAAAACAACTTAATAGCATTTAATATAGCACACACCTTTCTATTTTTAATGTAAAATCAAAGAATTATGAAAATTTTTACAGGAAAAAAATATGAAATTCTTAAAACTTTTGAGTAATGAAACTTTGAATTATTATTACATCAAAAATTTTCCATCCATATCCACACGATCGCATTTAAATAAAAAAAATATTTAAAAATAAATAAAAAATATTTAAAAATAAATAATATTTAAAATTTCCCCGAGTTTTAATGAGTTACCAAAATTTTCCCTAGCTTCGGTGATTTACCAGAAATTCAACTTAGTTTTAATTTTTGTTTGGATTTAATTTTTAAAGTTTTTAAAATACTATTATAAAGGATTTTTATTTAAGTTTTTATTTTTAATAGATTATTAAGGGCCAATTAATAAATTATATTATGATTAATTTAAAAATTAGAAAGAACTGAAAAGAACTAACGAATTTATAAAGGATATAACAGATATAAATTTTTTTTATGAAATAGAAGTAATGCGTTTTAGGATTTTAAACTAAAACCAGGAATAGAACTGAAATACCAATCGGTTCAACATGTTTATTTATTATATTCTATTTATTACAAAATGTGATATGGAAATGAATAGTAAATATTTATAAACTCTTTTTATTTGTTAGATTTATTTTATAACTGTGATATTCAATCATTCAAAAAAAGGAATAATAAGTATAAGATATTTTTCTAGCCATGACCTGGGCCTATATTTCATTGATGAAGTTAGCACACTATTTAATAAAAAAAGAAGTGGTTTAAATTTAAAGAAATCAATAATATCTCTCAGAATTCTTTGCAAGAAACAATAAACATATGAATTAAGGCAGAGAAAAATATTCTTAATGATCTTTCCATTTATTTTAAAAGTTTCCACACCGAAGGAAATAAATACTTACTCAAAGCGAAAGTCTAACAAAGAAAATAAAGCAAAAAAAGAAGATAAAAAAGAATAATAAAGACAGAAATAAAACTATACTGACCATCCTAAAATTAGTGTTCTCATTAAAACCTTTTATAAATGTCAAATTATTTTACCCAATAATATTCATCACCCTCATAATAGGAAAAAAAATGAAAGTGCTATTTTTACATAATTATCGATTTTTCAAGAAGAGGGAGAGAAACTTTTCTGTTTTTATTTGTTTTTTTTTGCAATATTTATTCCATAATAAATTTTTCCCTAAAATATTTGTTTTTGTTTTGGACATATTTGGATACTTGGAAAAATTATTTTAAAAAAATTTAGAAAAAAATATATATTCTGAAATGAACTCTAAAGTAACGAAAGTTTTATATTTATTTTTTATATATTATAATCAGAAATTTGCTATAAACGTTTTCATTCTATCCTATCATATATTTTTTTTCATTTCCAATTTATTTTTTAAATATTTTGTTTAAAGTATATTATGAATAAATAATATATGTATAATAATCTTCATCGGTGCCAGCCATTTTTAGAGGCGCCTATTTTAAAATTTTCTTTTTAAAATTTTTATATTGTTAGTTTTTATCTACAAACTAAATAAATTTATATCACATGATTATCATTCAATGATAGTTATTGTGTTGAGTAGTGTTGTTAAACGGCTCGATTTTAGCCTATTTTTATACGGCCCTCGAGGCTTCATTAATAGATGTATAAACCTTTGTGTTATCTATGACCAAAATCTTCAGACTTGCGTAATATTTTCCTGGCTAAAATATTGAGTTAGCCATTTTAAAAATAGGCTCAAATCGAGCCGTTTAACAACACTAGTGTTGAGATTCTAACCAAAAAAATGATAGGAATATTGTATGTAACCTTTTATATGAATTACACTAATTTAACAATACCAATTACGTTCTTCCCGTCTTCCCTGCTTTCACAGTTAACCAAATTTATAGTAAAGTATACAAAAATGAATGCAAAATTATTATATATTATATTTTGTAAACTTCTCCGCGAATTCGCGCTAACTGTAAATGCAAGGATAAATTGATCAAAACTTATCTTTGTTGGCAACATCTCTGGTATTATGGAAGATAATTTTTCTATTCGGTGAAAATCTTTAATGCTGGTTTCAATTAAGTTTAGGTATGCATGTTCAAATAATCCATATGTAGTATGTTTTAGTTATATATATATTTTTACATTAACAATATTTTTATAAAATATATATTTTTTTATATGCAATTTTTTTTTATTGTGATTTTTATATTTTATAAACTCATAATTTTTATAAAAGTATTCACTTAAACTCGGCATTTATTCAATAAAAGATATTCGATGATTTAGATCAGCATATAAACTATTACCAGCGCCCAGCTAGAAAAGGTGATGATTCCGCGTTAAATATATTCGGCGATTCAGTCAAGGCAAGTTCTATTAACCTGGACAGGTCAATTATCATAGATCGAGTATATTCAATTTATTTTAATTTTACAACTCTCTGGTATTAATTTTAAAATAAGTAATTTAAACATAATCTTATATGAATAAATCAATTATACCTTTGTCATTCAATAAAGCCTTATGAATTTTCGAATGAGATAAATGACACAAATATGACCAGCCCGAAAATAGACGATCAAAATATCAAAAATGACCCCATTATAGCTGACAATGACAATATAAGTATAATTTATTTATATTTTTGCCTAATAGCAGGAAAAACTGGAGCTAAATCGAAGTAAAGAGGCAAAAGCCTATAAATTTTTGTTCTTCAAAATAAAATCTTTCAAATTTGGTAAAAGATATATTTTTATACACATTTTATTTTCTACCATATTTTCAATTGGAAATGAGGCTAAACACTCAAGAGATATTGTACAAATAGTGTTTTTTTCACACTTTTATACCAAAATAATTTTTGCACCACAAAAATTCATGATAATTTCCATTTTTCTAGACTAATTCTATTGGTGAAATAAAAGTACCCTGAAAATAATAATATAGCAAATGATCAAAATTACAGAAGAACTAAAACTTGATGATGATATGAAGTGTTTCTTAAATTAAATTATAAGATCCATCTTATTCCTATATATTCAATCCGATTTCTGTTATTTCCCTCCATAAATCTTATAACCCCATCTTCCTCCACTAGACAAAAAACTTCAAAGTTATAACAAAATTGTCCTTATAAAAATAAATTATTGAATTGTAAGATGACAAAAATAAGAAAAGACAATATTGTGTTGTTTGCTGAAAATTATAAAAGTAGTAAAAAAAAGGGACACATTTTAATTGTACCAAGAATGACCCATTATACAATGTTCATGTTGTTAGGATTAAATTTTTTTTATTTTTTAATAATATTTACAATAAAAAGAGAAATTTTATTTTCTGTAATTAAATAGAATTTTTGCTCTCTTACTGAGTATAGTTTGCCCCTTTTGGGTAGTTGATAAATAGCAAAATTTACTAAATCGCAAATAGTGTCTAAATTATCAAAGGTAGTATTTTAATTCTCATTTTATTAATCATAATGCCAATTTCTCAATTAATTGGAAAAATAATATTTTTTACAAAATTACGATAAACATCACAAAGTGTTTATATTTTTTATAATTAAAATTATGCATCTATTAATAATAATAATAATCCTAATATCATTATGTGCAATCAAAATTTTACAATCTTTGATTGCCATCTAATGGTTAAATAATATATTTGCGAAAATATTATTATTGACATTTTATGATATGCCTCCTATTTATAAGGCCAGTGCTTATTTAATAAACCCAGTAAGTTATAATTCCTCTACTTGTCTGAATTCTCGAATTCGTCATGTCTTATGTATTCGTTACTAAAATATTGGTATCCCGAATTATTTTATAATTGATTTATAATAGGTACATTTACATAAGTATTAAATTTTATCCACCATTAATTTGATTTATAATGCGTGTATGTAGATAGTAAATAAATTCATAAAAATAGTTGTAAATTTTTTTATAAAAATAGCTATATAAAAAAAATTTGAAAGAATAACTTTATTAATAGTGTAATTTAATGAATAAATCAGATAATACTAGTGCTGTGAAGTAACGTCAAAAAGTAACGCCGTTACTAACGACGTTACTTTTTGAAGAAAAGGAACGTTATTCTTTACCTTATTTTTGAGGTAACTTTTGAGTAACGGTAACGCAAATCGTTACTCGATACTTCATATTTTTTCTTAAAAAATATCAACAAAAAGAAAAATATATTTTATTGTATTATAAAATTAGTTTTATTTATTTTTAAATTCTTAATATTAATAATTTAAGCTGAGTTTTAATTCATATCAACCACTTCCTTCATTTTTATTTTAAATTCTCGTTGTTAAATTTTCTGTCGAAATTAATATTCAATCAAAATTCAAAGTAAAAGTTAATAATGATATTATTATTCGTATAATTTATTTTAAGAATATTATGTCGATAGTACTTACTTCTTCAGATGAATATATTTTAAACCAATAAAGAAAATTAATGGTACCAAGTCCACACTTTGTAAATGTAAATTATATCCCAACGCAAATATTTCAACCTCAATACCCAGCAGTTCAAACTTAAAAAAGCATAGGTAAAAAGATGAATTAATATATCATTATTTTAAACATTACTTTAATAATAGAATAATGTTCTTTCATAAAATTTTGAAAAGCTTAATCATGGAATTAAAATATAAGTAGGCTTTGCCGATATTAAATATCGCACCGATATTTAGCGTTTTCCAAAAATATCGGATCGTACCGATATCTATAAAAACCGATTCGATTTTTACTTTTCTTTTTTTTGTTATTTTATGTTATGTATATTTATTTTACGTTATTTTACGTTATTATAATATTTTCTAAATAATTTTTTTTAAACAATGTAAATGCACAACACCCTCTATATTTATTTTATTTTTAAAATAGATTTATAATTTAAAAGTTTTTTTATAAAAATAGAAAGGAACACCCAAAGTTTTATTTATTTCAAATCTTTTTAAATAATAACGCCAATTTTATTATTTATACTTTAAATAAAAGAATTTTTTTAAATATGGTATCTGAATTATGGAAATATTTTACAAAAGACAAAGATAATTTTGCAAAATGCGTTATCTGCGGAATCATATGAGTCTGCCTTTAGTAAGGCAGGGGATATAGATAGTCCATATCGTCGAAGCTTATTGCCAGAAAATCGAGAGGTTCTCATATTTATTAAAAAAATCTAATATATTATAATTTTATATATTAAATATTACAATTTTATAATTCATACCAACATAAAATGGATATATTATTAAATATATGTTTTTTTAATTATAGTTTTAATTGTAGAAATAAAGAAATTATTAAATGTATTTTTTTAGCATAAAAAATATTGATTTCTTAATTTGGTTCAAAGGGGGGTGGTGATAAATCAATATAAATATCGGATCGGTATCAATCGAATCGGTTTTGAAGCAATATCGAATCGGATCGGTGAAAATATGTGGATCGGCACAGCCTTAAATATAAGCAATTAAATTATACTACAGTATTGAGCTGGGAACCAACATTAAAAACCCAAGATTAACAAAATATTGGTTTTGATTCAAAGCATTATATTGAGTTTTTTATACAATATCTTCTATTTCTTGTTTGTTTAAATAATATATATATATATATATATATGGAATATTGGCGTAGCCAGGATTTATCCAACAATAAAATTTTACAGAGAATTTCATTATAGATTTTATTTATTTTAAAATACTATATATAACATCCCATTGTTTAACCAGCTGTTTGAGCACTAAGCGCTCTTGTTTGTCTGATCAAAATTTTGAAATCAATTGTTGCTAAAAATAAATAAAAATTGATACATAACGATTATCTTATAAAATAATATTTTTGTATAATTTTATTTATATTATAACCATACATGAAATTTTTTTTTATAAAACTATCTTATATATTCTTTTTGTATAGTTTTATTTTATTATATATTGTCGGAAAAAAATAAATATTATTTTTGTATATATTTAATTTTTTTAAGTAACATGTAGCCCGTTACCTTTTTGAAAAGTCGGTAACGCGCGTTCCTTTTTTGAAAAGGTAACGAGTAACGGTAGAACGTTCCTTATTTCAGATGTAACGAGTAACGGTAACACTTTTTTTTAGTAATGTTTACAGCACTAGATAATACTAATTCACAATATATTTCTTTTGAGTAGACATATATATATATTTCTTTAGAAAAATAGACAATCCATGTGGTATATAATATTTTATTTTTAAGGATATTTAATTTAGAGGGGATATAAAATAAAAATTTTCATGAAAATACATTTTTCTTGCAAAAACACAATACACATGTTTTTTAAAAATTAAAATAAACAATTTTAAATAAGATATGCGAAGGGGTATAAATAATGTCGTGTAACAAATGGTAAATCTACAAGATCTCACAAATAAATTTAAATGCTAAATCACATTACACTTTTAAGTTCTCACATTGAGAAAAAGAATATATTTTTTTTATTATACTTTCAATTTTAATTAAATGAAGACCCATTAGCCAAATAAATTTACCCTCATAGTCAAATTAACAATTTTTTCCTTATTAATATCATTTACACAAAAATATTTTTACACGGTTAATCCACATTCAACCATCTCACAATTCAAAATGGACCCACCGTTAATTAAAATGAATGTACACACACATGTCAACTCCTTTTAAAAACCCCCTATTGCTTCGGCATTTTTCTTCTTTAATATTTCTAGAGCCCCTTGTTGTTCAATTTTCACCCAAAATGATCACATTTCATAAATCATATATGAATATGCCACTTTTGGAAAATTCTCCACAAAACGATTATAATAATTCACAATACCCAAAAAGGATTGCACTTCAACCTTACTTGTTGGCCGATTCATATTTAATATGTATTTTAAATTTTTATCAAGAGGTTTCCCACCCCAATAATTTGATGACCCAAATATATAATTTCTGTTACACCAAAAACACTCTTTTCTTTACTGGCTCTTAAGCCTTTGTCACAAATTCTCTTAAAACTTCTTCAAGAAGCTGATTATGTTTCTCTGGTGTCACATCAGTTATCAACACATCATCTTATAATAAAATGCACTTTCCAATTCCAAAACAGAAGCCATGGTACGTTGAATAGGTGCTGACACCCTTAACCTAAAAGATAATCTACAAAATGAAAATAAACCTTACAGAGTAAGTAATTATAATAACTTGCGAATTTTTTACAAGGGTGACTGCACTGCTTATACGTTGATGAAAAATCCACTATGAAAAAATATTTTTCACCTTTTAAATTGTCTAAAATTTTCTCAATTCTAGGAAATGGATATTTAACTTCAACAACCCATTGTTACTTCCCATTTGATTTTTATACAGGAGCTAATAATTCCACTGTCATAATAATACTATCTTTAATCCAATGGTCTAATTCTTCTTCAATTTCTTTCTTTCACTATAAAGGAACTCATATACATGCTAAAAAAAATGGGTGAACATCCCTCTTTCAATTTCACCTCCACTTGATAATCATTGATTCAACCCAAAGTGTCTTTAAAAATATACTATATTTTTACATTATCGGTATGGCTTCATGAATTTTATTTAATTCATTAACTTTAAAAT